GCTGGTTTAATTCCCTTTGATCTGTATCCACCATTCAAAACTGGACAATTTATTACTTCCTGGATGCTGCTCAAGGCCAGTCGGATGTGAAGTTTGATGTTGGCTGTGTCTATGGAGACGACCTTGGTGCACAGATCCCACCTCGGCATCATCTCCTGTGGGCAGCAGAAAGGGAGAGCTGCTGTGCTGGGTCTCAGCCGCTGCCTCCATCCCCAGGAGCTGGATGAGACCCTTTGGGAGCTGTTTTGTGCCATGCCCACGCGTACACATGACCTGCCAGTGTCTGCCCTGGGTTGGTCTTCTCCTAAAACAAGTCCCACCATGGCAACCCTACCCCAGCACAGCCGACTGCCAGAAGCCCAGGCTGTAAGCACAGGAACTCACCCCCAAATTGATGGAGATGGCAGGGAGATAAAGTCCTAGAGCTGACCAGGAGCTGACCCTACTGTCCCCAGAGATCAGAGGGAAGGGCCCCTTCCAGGCAGCTCTGTGGCCAGGAGCCTTCCCCAGGGTGAGGGACAGGGTCAGCATGCCCCATTGTCCCCTCCACCAGCTCCCCTCCACAGTGAAAGTGGTGGCAGACCAACGTGAAACCACAGCTCAAAAAATCCAAGTGAGCAAAGCCCAGAAATGCCCATGCGCTGTATGGAAGTGTTGTTTGGGAGGCTCAGGGCTGCAGCTCTGACCTCCCCACTCCTGGCTGGAGCTGGGATGACTCAGATGTTTGTGTGACTCGGAAGCTTCCCCCAAACTGGGTCTGGAGAGGTTTGTCTCATCGCACGATGAAGCATCGCTCACTGCGGGGGCCGGCAGCAGGAGGCTCTGTGGTGTTCCTGCTTTGCCAGTTTCTGCCCTCCCAGAGTAAACCCTGAAGCGGCAGGATGCTGACACACAGATGAGTCTGTGTGGAGCCCGGGGGGCCTGGGCTGCTCAGCCTCTGGCACTGGCAGTCCCATGCTCACTGGCTGGGGTGCCCCCACCAGTACCCTGCACCAGTGGCTGGCGTAGAGGGGCTGCTGGCAAAGCACAGGCTTCATCCTCCCTCTGCTCAAAGGACACTCTTTAGGGGAGCTGGGGGTCTGGTTGCCCACAAGGACATGGCAAGGCACAAGCCAGGAGCATTCATGGACGAGGTGGCTCATGTGTTGGAGGAGCCAATGACTGTTTTGCAGAGCATCGAGGGTGCTGGCACCAGAGGTGGGTGAACGTAAGGACATGCCACTTCCAGGCATTGAACAGGTCACCTGGACACAAAGGGACAACGGGAAGACCCCCAGAGCCAGAGAACCAGCCCAAGGCTCAGAGTGGCAGGATGTCCTCAAGGGGCTAGATAACAGCACCCTGCAGCCATGGGGCAGCAGATGCCCCAGGTGGGTGCTGAGGGTCCCTCAGCAGGGATCACCTGTGCCCCTTTCTGGAGGTCTTCTGCCACCCAGCCCAGACACTTGAGGGCTCTGGGAAAGGCTCAAGGGAGGAAACTGTCCTGGCAGACACAGGCAGCCTTCTTGCCCCTGAGCAGGGATGGGGAGGGATGGAGGGATGGAGAGGGATGGACGGATGGAGAGCTTCAGAGCTGGTGGCACTAACAGATGAGAAGACATATGCTATGCTCCATACTGCTGAGACTACAGCTGGCACACTGAAAGCACCTCCATCCAAGCGTGTCCATGTCCAAGCAAGGTCACTGTCCTGTCACAGTACCAGAGATGACTCAGGACAGAGGGACCTCAGCTGCTCAGAAGGAAGGCACTTGCTTGTGATGCTGCTGTTGGGAATGGGGAACAATTTTTAAACATCTATTCATGATGTAGAGGCATGTTACCATGGGTGCCATTTCCTAGTACCAAAGCCCTGCACTGATATGGGATTCAATACTGGAGCTCATCCTTATGGCCCAGGACAAGATAATTATGGCCCAAAGATTGGGAGGTTGGCCCAGGGCACGTAAAACCAGGGTCTGTGTCTCCAACTGACTGTATCATCACCAGCAAAGTGGATATTTGGTCCCTTCGTGTACCAGTTTTCCAGCACCAGAAGCAATTGCCAGCACACCAGGCCAGGTACATTTAAAGATGCCAGTTCAGCAGAACACAGTTTATCCTCTGCTGTCACTGCCTGGCCCCAAACTGTTGCACCAGAAACATGACAAAAATGACCTGGGGGTAAAAGTGAGGAGGAAATTCCCATTTTAGATAAAGAGGGAATTAAGAAAAATGCATTAACACCTAGAGAGAGCACAGGGCTGGAAAACCAGGACATGAAACAAAATTCCTTCAGATTGGAGGGAAATGGGAAGAATTGATGGAAAAATGATGACCATCAAGGGTGAGATCAGCAGAAGGCATTTAAATTGCATTAGGAGAAATAATCCCCATGGCTGGAGGCATCAATGTGCATGCAGGAAGGTGTGCTGGGCCCTGGGAACCTCCAGCCAAGTAGGAAAATCCCTGTTTTTCTTCTGCCCATCTCTGGAAGAAGCAGCCACCTTCAGGGCAAACCAAGAAAGATGGGGAAGGAGGTGATGAAGGTGATGGGGAGGAAAGTTTTTGCTCAAACAGACTCTTTTTCAGTGGCCAGCCCTGGTGCGTTGCACCCACTGGCCTGGGAGGGTGAATGGCCACCAGCCCCTGGGGAAGCCGGGCAGCGCCCTAGCATGGCTGGGCTGTGGGGGCTGCCTGGTTGAAAACCCACCCTGGTGATAGAGGATTAGACAGAACAGATGTGACTGGAGAGGAGAGGAGAGGCAGCAATGCAGTGATTCCCCAGGGAAACCCTCCCCAGACCCAGTGTCTCCATGTAACCAAAGCCTCGGCAGCAGGAGACATTGTCCCCGAGTCCTCTGTGCATAGGGGCTGCACAATGCTGGTCATGGACATCTCTGGTTGGGGCACCATCAGTGAGGCTTCACTCCCAAAACCAGACTTGGGAGGAGAGAAAAAGTGGATTTAGGGCCAATCTGCAGCAGCCAGCATCAAAATACTAACCACTGCACTGCAGCATGTCCATCACTCCGCAAGCAAAACAGTGGCCAGGGCTGGTTGGTCTCGCTGGTGCATGAGCGCGGTGGCAGACACTGCTGTGATGATGATGGTGATGCTCAGCCAGGGAGGAGGCTTTCTCTCCAAGCTCTGCCAAGTCAAGCGCAGGAAAGGAGGGAAAATAAGACCCCCAAACCCCCTGGGAAACACAGACCCTTACAGCTGCTTCTGGCCAGAGCTGGACTCACACCTCAGCATGTCCTGATGGGAAGGGACCAGGCTCAGCATCCTCACCCTGCCAAAACATGTCCTTACCTTTAAGCACATGCAGGGCCAGTGGTGCATGCTGCTATGGTGACAACCCCACCATCAAGGTGCTGCTGGCATCTGCCTTGACTTTGTTCATTGCCAGTGAAGGAGGTGCTGTTATTTTATGCTTCCACTTGAAAGAAACGGGGCTCCGTGGCAGCAAATGAGGGGCAGTGGGCAGCCCTGGCAGGGCTGCGAGGGAGATGGGGACAGAGGGGTGGGCACAGGGAGGGCACAGGGGTCCTGCTCCTCTCTGCCATCTTCTGATGGAAATTGGGACAAAATGGCACACTGTGACCATGGAAAGTGTCACCAGGGATGCTGCGCCATGGTAGCAGGGGGTCGTGTTGGCGGCCGGGGCTTGGCAGGGACCGCTGGGGAGAAAAGATGGGTGTAGTGGGGGGACAGCCACCTTTCAGGGACACTTGTACTAATGCCTAAGCAGTATCTCATGGAAAGAGGGATGTTTAAAGTGGAAAAAGGTGGTTTTTTGGCAAATGGCTGAGCTAGGGGGTGAGATATACCGGGGGGGGTGGGGGAGGTGTAGAGGAGCCCCTGGGACTGCATGTCCAGGAGCTGTCAGAGAGGGAAAGCGAGTCTTGCATTGCAGCTCGAGCTGCCTGGATAGGCATTTCACTGGCCCGTAAATGTCACACTTTAGCCAAGAGCCCCTTGGGCCCTCTTAGCAATAACATCAGGGCCTGGTAGTTAACCAGGATTAGAAGAGAAATTCTGCAAATGCTCCTCAGTTGCAGGGCAGAGTGGTTTAAGACTGTCCCTGGACCAGGAGGCATTGGACAGCGGTGCCCAGAGCAGCTGGACCAATATGGCTGGGCTCCTCGCCTCGCCTGGTCCCTCCATCAGCCCGTGCAGCCTCCTCTGGATGCTGGGTACTCCTGCCCGTGGCCCTGGTTCCTGGCGATGGTGGGACCACACGCTTCGCCGCCACTCCCTTGCAGAGCCCCTGGCATGGGGGGGTGGCTTGATGGACCCACCTGGGGGGAGGCAGGCAGGTGGGTGCTCACCCCCCAGGCTGCCAGGCAGCTTTGGCACCAATGGGACCATCCCCTGGGACAGTCTGGCTCTGCTGGGGCATCCCCCACTCCAGCACGGGGTGATGTGGGTGCCAGTGGGCATCATGCTGCACCCAGAGGTTTTCCTGTGGCCACCCAACAGTGCTTAGCCCTGCTGGGCCCCCATGCCTGCGCCCACCCATTACATCTGAGGAATGCAGGGAGAGCTGCCAGGAGAGCAGGACCAGAGTGAGAGGGGACACTGGGGATGGGTTGTGGCATGACATGTGTCCCATAGGCTCAGGAGCGCTCTGAGCACTGGAGATGCCCTCTCTCTCCCCTGTGCTGCTGTTGGGGATGCAGCTCCTGGCTCCCCAACACAAGCAACCCTGCAGAGGAGCACCGGGGCAAGAGTGCTGGGGCCTGATGGGTGCCACAGGGTCGGCACTGCCTGGGTGGCATTTTGGAGAGCTCTGCCACCCTCTTGCCATGCCCAGCCTAGAATGAAGCAGAAATAAAGCAAATGGTTTGTTCTCCAGCCACCTCTGATTTACTGATCTCATGGAGGCCACATATTTTTGGGCTGCCGTGAACCATCAGTGCAAATGTGACAGTCCCCTCCATGGTGGACTCCAAAATGAGAGCCCCCACCCCCTTCCAGCCTCACACCACAAACCCATGGCCCAAAATCTGCTGAGGTTCACTGGGGAGTGCGTGCCCCGCAGTCCCCGTCCCGCTGCAGGGCCCCTGCATCCCCCCTCAGACTCAGCTCATAGATGTTCTGCTCATCCCCAGTGGCAACAAGAACATCCTGAAACTGGGAGACAACGCGTCCAAAATGGGACCCTTCCCAAAACACCTTTCCGCAGCGGGTGCAGCAGTAGAAGTCGGTGAGCTCAGCGTTGTCTAGGACCCCGGGGGGGATGGCGGCGACCTGCAGGACCATGCACCCTGCCAGTGCTGCAGATGCCCTATGCTGCGCCAGCCCCTCCACCCACTTGCTGTGTGGGGTGTAGTCAGGCTGGACTGCATCGCAGGCCGGCATGGCAGCATCACAGCTCTGGCTGGGCTTCTCCTCACATCTCACCAGGCAGCCTGCGGGGAGAAGAGACAGCAGATAAACCATCAGCCACTGGTGTGATGAGTGGGGTCTGTGCTCAGCCATGCGAACAACCCTTGTGAGGGCTGATGATGGCATCCCCGCAGGGATTCCAGGCTCTGCCCTGCATCCCAGGGAGGAGCATCCCATGAATTTGGGAGAAGGTGGCCACCAGCATCCACCAGCTGCCTGCCCTGAGCATGGCACCCGTGCAGCCTCCTGCTCCCCAGCAGCTGCCCGGCACCTCCTGCAGTTCCTCTGCTGTGTCCTGCTGCTGCTGAGGCAGCAGCGGGGTCTGCCATGGTCTTGGGAGCTGTTCCAGTCTGGGTAACTACACCAGTGCTGCTGCTGTACTGGGTACAATGGTTTTGCCTCCCTGTCACAGATCAGGCAAGGCTGCTCTCTGAGATGGGCTGCCACCCCACCCTGGGCCGCATTACAGGGCAAGCAAACAGCAACTGCTGCTTTAATTAAAAAAACACCATTAATATCTGTCTGCACTGCTCATGACACCCACAACTCTCCTGGCCTGCCCGAGGACGCTGGGCATTGGGGTATGTGTGACATCCACCTCCCATCACATAAACCAGGCAAGGGGCACAGTGGGGCGCGATGTGGGGCTCTGTCCCGTGAGCCGTCCCTGTATGCCCCAAGCCCTAGCCCCACCAGGCAGGTGGATCGCTGCCATCGCAAATGAAGTGCCACAAACCCCATGGCATTTTTGGCAGCTCCGTGCAGGCTCTCACTGCCTGCGGCTGGGGCACAGCAGGTCACTGGATCCGGGTGGCGGAAGCTGAGGGCTGAGCTGCCTCCCATCCATCAGAATGCCTGGCAGCTGGGGACACTGGCTGCAGTTATTTCTGCGGGATGACTCATTTTTGGCAGGGGGGGACTTGTCCTGCCCAGACATCAATTAAGACAACAAAAGGCATCCTGCATTGCTCCAGCAGCACCTCTGGGGCATCCAGCCTGCCCCTTTCGAGGATCAGAGGGAGCCTGGTCAGGAGCCAGCTGCGACGGAGAGGAACACTAGCATTTCCAGCTGGCTCTTCCCTGCATCCCAGTGCTGTCAGGACCTGGGACATGCTGGCGATTATTGTGGGGGAAAGCAAGGCTGAGGACAGCCCTGGAACAGCCACCCCATCCCAGAAGAGCTACCTCATGTCTGCCTGGCAGGGCCTGGACCTGCCACTGCATGAGCAGAAAGAGCCACAGCCTGGGATAGTCATGGGAGGCTCAGCTCACACCAGTCCGCAGTTCAGAGGGGCTCCCCAGAACCCCCCAAGAACTTCCACACCTCCTCAAAGGAGATGACCAGCACAAGGTGGTGGGGCACGGTCACTCCCCATTCCCCACCGACAAACAGCCACATTCAGGGTCAAGGCTGTCACTGGAGATGCTCTCAGGGTGGTTTTGCAGACTAGCCCTGGACAACCATGCAGCCCAGGAGTGGTACAGGTTTGGGGGCCACTGCCACAACATGAGGGGAAGCAGCCCCGAGCCCAGTCTCAGCCACTGGTCAAGAGCTGGGCTCACCATCACTGTGCTCTGGCCAAGTACCCCGCAGCCCCGCTCATGGATGTGCCTTTCCTTCATCCTCTGTGTCTGCCTGGGACAAAACATCCATTCTTGGAGAAAAAACAGTGACCTCAGTTTCCCATTTTCTCCAATTTTTGGCATGTGGTAAAGCACCTGGGCTGCTCTCAGGAGATCCCTCAGCTGTCTGGAGCAGGGAGATGGAGGAATATCCCTGTTCCTGGGGGTTTCTCTGGGACAGAGCCTGTCAGAGGGTGGCAGATCCCTGTGGCAGGAGGCAGGGGCTCTGCCCTCACCCTGTCCCTGCCTCCCTCCGCCATGTGCTACACAATGGCATGGGGTGGCCTCAGCCTGGGCATGCAGGGACCGGCTCACTGAGGAGGCCAAGCTGCGGGCTGCACCTCCAAGAACATGAATCACAGACTGCCTGCAAAACCCTGGGCCATCACTTGTTTTTCTTCAGTTTATAACACATGGACAAAAATCTGCCTTTCTTCCCCTTTTCTATTCACCATACCTGCTCTTGAGCAGCAGCCTCTGCATCTGCCTCCAGGACCCTGACAGGAGGGACATCTACCTTGCTTGAGACTTTTAGATCCAACTGTAACCGAAACAACACTGCCAGCAACACTGCCAATATCTTTCCCCCCTGTGAACCCTAAAAAATTCCCTGGCCCAACCTTGCAGCACCCCAGCCCGGCCAGCACCAGGGCACAGACACTCGATGCTCCTTTAGCATTCCTGGGCAATTTGCTCTCCCTTCTGACACGCTCCATCAGCTGCCATGCTGCTGGTGGGCAAAGCCTCCTTCTCTGCATGGGGGGGTGGTGAAACCTCCAGCTCCCCAAACACCCCAATCTCTTCCCCCTGGGCTCGTGAGAAAAAGGCAGGCAGGGAGGAAAAGTTCATCCATTAAAAGCCCAGGGAGAGAAAGGCCATGATGGTCACCCAGTAGTTTTGTGTTTCACTTGCACAAGTCCCCTCTTAATTGTGGCTCTTCAAAGGGCTGAAAATGCTACAACACTTCAAAGTGACCATTTTTGAATGGGAGCTTGTAAAAACCCTTCTCTCCCTCCCACCAAATTCTTCCCAGGGCTTTTGAAGATGCCTGCACTCCCCTTGCTGCCGCAGTTGAAAGGGCCACTGGGCGCCAAGCACAGGGTGCCAGATGGGCACACAGTGAAAATTGTGCTGGGAAAAGGTCAGAGCCCCCAGAAAAAAAGGGTTTTCCTGGGGGAAAAGGGGGATTTTTTTTGAAGAAGGGGTTTTTTTCTCCCCCTTGAGATGGGCAGTGCCCTTCCTGGCGGAGTCGCTGCTCCTGCAGGGCTGCAGCCTGGCTCACCAGGATGCTGCACACTGTGGAGTTACACCGGAGATGGAGCAAAAAGCATTGTGTGAGGTGCATGGGGCCAAGGGGAGCCGAGTGCATCCTTCCAATGTGCCAGCAGTTTTTCAGATCTACAGCTTCCAGAGCTCTGCAATGGTTCACACCAAAGGCTAAATTCCCACCACATCTCTGCAGAGGAGAAATGAAAGCAATTCCTTACCAAATCAATTCGAAACACCTCTTGGGAACTAATAATCCCATTATAAAACATCTTGAAAACAAAAAGCCCTTTTGCCTCTCACTCACCTCTCCCCCTCTTGCCTGGGTTACCCTGGGGATGACAGAGCCTGATGGGGGCTGAGCCCTGCAGCCCCGCCAGCACCCCAGGGTTGAGCACCCACAAGTGTTAGTGCCGCAGAGCTCCATGGGCAGCAAGGATTGTCCCCATCCCTGACCTGGCAGCCCTGATCAGCACAGAGCCATCTCCTCCTGCCCTCCCCTCGAGCTGTGGCCATACCCTGCCCTCGCACATGCTGCCCACCACATCTCCAGCTCTTGCCCACCCCTGCTTGCCCATGGGAATTAATACCCCATGGAACAGCACAAAACACTGCTGTGTGGTTTGTGGAACCATGCTGTTCCCACCCATGGACATGCCTCACCTCCCAGTGAGTGCTGCCATGCCCAGGGGAAAGGGGATACTTGCAGGACCCCGATTCTGCTTATTTCTGCATCAGGTTCCTCCCTGGGCTGAGCAAGGCCACCCTCAGTGGTGGGATCTCACCTTTGCAACCCAGGAGACGTCCTTGTCACCCCTGCAGCAGCCCTGCTTTGTGCCCAAGCCACTGCCATGTGCCCCAGAGCTTGGCTGGCCCCACACTCTGTGAGGTGTGGTGCAGCAGGAGGCACGCCAGCGTGGGAGGGATCCCCTTCCTTCAGCCCCTGGCCACCAGCACCAAGATGGCGGGGAAGACCCATGGCAAAACTACATCTCATGCCCTGGGGCACTGCATGGTTCCTGGTGCTTGAAAACCAACAGTACCTTCATCCCAGAGGACACAGAACCAGCAGTGTGGCAGTGTGTGCCCCAAGGGCACAGCAGCACCTGGGGACCCTGTGGGGGGCGCTCAGGTGACAGTCTCACATGAGCCCTGGATGGGAACTATTGCAACTGGGGGGTGGGGGTGGGGCTGTGGTGGGCAAAGTGACTTGTCCCAAAGACCCCAGGGAAGGCAGAGACAGGCCAGGAGCCACAGCTGCGTATGCTCCACTGTGAGGCCCTGCTTGTGGATGGGGGGGGCGAGGCAAAAAAACACAGGCTGCATACAGTGGGCAGGGGGACGTGCACCCTCCTCTGCCCACAGAGAGGCCCTTAGCAGTGCAGGGGTCATATTGAAACGCCACCATGCTGGTGACACCAGTGACCTGTAGTCCCTACAGCCTATTCTGTTGGTTGCAATGCAGGAGTCCTGGGTCAGCATTTACTGGGACCGCCCCCACTGTGGGACAGGGGGCACAGGAGGGCCTGGGAAGTTGGGACAGAGTAGGATTAGGGCAATCCTCATTTGAACCCATGCCCATTTTCCTTTCCCAGACCACACAGCCCTGATCTGGCTGGAAACAACCTGTCCTCGTGCACGTGAGCCCTGGGCACCCTTGGAGTTTCAGTGTCAGGGCACTGTCGGGTAACCCAAAGTCCCCGGGGGAGCCAGGTACTTCCACACAAAATCCTCCCCCCCAGGCCCCATTTCTAGCCCAGGTCCCTCTGTGTCACCCCAGCTAAGACCAAGGCCTTGGGATGAGGATCTGGGTGCTTGTCCCAGCTGGCTCAGGCAGGGACATGATGCTCACCCCGCAGCTCCGCAGCGGGAACCGCAGCCTCCTGCCACCTCCTGAGAGGCACTCGGGTCTGGCAGCACTTGTGCAAGCTGAAAGCCCTTCTCCCAGCCTGGCAGCCGCACCCAGCTGTCATCGCAACCACACACACGGGAGACTCGTCCGTAATTAGGCAATTAAGGCTGAGGTGTTTTGGAGAAAGCGCACATCGTAAAGGCTTTGCACAAGGCTGAAAGCAGACCTGGGAGCATTCTTGGAGTACAAAGGTGCATGGGAAACCATGCTGCGGTGAGAGATCGAACCCGATAAGAGGAGTTACGAGCCTGAGAAACACACTCAATTGCAGGGCACTGAAGATGCCTGGTTATCTTTTCCTCCTCTATAAGGCAGATAAGCAAAGGACAAAGGACCTGGGATTGTGCAACCTGGGCTGCAGCAGCCTGGCCACAATCTTAAGATGTTCCCAGGGTGGAGGAGGGAAGATGAGCTTAAGGCAAGAGGCACCTTCAGTTGCTATCATCAACCTGTGCCGCTGTGGGAGAAAACCCTGCCGGCTCCTGCGCCCAGCACTGGGCAGGAGCACCAAACAGTCCCTAGCTCCTTCACAGGGAGCATACAGCACAACACTGCAGAGCTTTGCAAACCCACAGCCATGAAAATGTTACCAGCTTCCTAGCCTGGCAGTGGCTTTTCACAGAAGCAAACAAAATTCTTCCAAAAAGGGGGAGGTGGCAGAGCACATCCCAGCTGAGCCTGGGAGGTGTTTCTGGCTGGTCTCATCACAGCAGCCCCCTGGTCCCAGCCCTGCGCTGCAGCTCCTTGGTCCCCATCCCTGCCCTGCCTGGGGACAGACGTGATCATGCTCCCATTACCCCACTGCGCCTTGGGGGGGAGAGAACCTAAATGCATGGGGTTGCCTGGTCTGAGGGTTAAGGGGGCTGAGGAGCCCCTGGGTCCATGGGTGCAGCCCCCTGGAGACCTGTCCTCTTCCCTGCAGAAATGTGCAGAGCAGCCTGAGACATCCGTGATGTTTTGGAGTCACCTGCATACCAGGTCCGGTGCCAACACAGTGAGGATGCACAGGCTGCTCCATGGGTGCGAGAGTCCTCCTGGGACAGCACAGGGATCACCTGCCCTTCCCACATGGCAGTAAGATGGGTGTGATGCTCACAGCAAAGCCAAATGCTGAAGTTCAGGGAAGCATGGCAGGAAAAAACTGCATCCAGCCTCAAGGCTTTGGACACACAGTGGCCTCTTCCTGCTGTGCATTGGAGCCCCTGGCTGAGGGAAGCAGGTCTCACTAACCCATGCCTTCAGTTGTCCCAGTGTGGCAGCCATAGACCCGGCACTACACTGGTGTCACCCCAGCTCGGAGCCACAGCACAGACTTCCCTGCACTGCAGTCTTGCAGCTCTTCCTCCCACCTGCCCAGATGCTGCCTCCGCTGCCTTTCACCAGGGCTCCACCACAGAGCCAAGGACCAGGAAGGGAAAGAAACCCTGAGTCACTGCTCAGGCTGGCGGGGACAAGGCGGGTGCCCCGTTTGGGCTGCTCGGAGCCCCGCCAGACCCATGCCATCCTGCCACACAGCGTGGGGACATCCTGGCTGCTCCTCCAGCCACCCGCAGGGCTGCCCGGGGCTTATCCTGCTCCTGCGGGATGCGATGTTGGAGGAGAAGATGGGTAGTGCAGATCTTGCTGGTCTTGAGTACCAGCTTTGGCTGGTCAGGGAGGATGCTCACCCAGCCTGGGGCTCCTCAGGGTGCTGCGTCAGGCTCCCTGAGCACCCCTGGCCACTGCGCCTGCTCCACCTCTCCAGCACAGAGTGGAGGCTCCAGCATGCCTGGTTAGCAGCACAGCCCAAAGGAAAGCAGGACCAGTTGTTTTCGTGGTTTGAAAAATGTTTCAGATGGCAAGGGGTGATTTTATGATTAAAGCAGCCTTTTCTGTTTGGCGAATCCTATCCAGATCGAATGTGCTCCATCCTCGCCTTTCCCAGAAACCAGATTTCATTTGGCAGAGCATCCTCGGAGCACCAGGGCCCCATGCCAGCTGGTTTTACCACACTGAGTAAGCAAGAAGCTTCCCTGGGCCAGACGAGAGGCTGTGACATATCCCATCCCCTTGGGTCATTTGGGAGCCCGAACACTGCCAACAGTGTCCAGCGAGACCATGTCTTGCCTGTGCCACATGGTGACCCACATCACTGCTGCCTCTCTGCCCCATCCCCTGCCAGCTCCAGGCACCTGAGCTGCTCAGAGCATCCCACTGGGCATCACTGGGCAAAGCTGTCCAGGCTTGAAACTATTTCTAGCACTTCCATCAAAGCCCTCATGCAGGGCAAATGTGTCTGTGTCAGGGAAAATGTTCCCTAAAACCTGGGAAAGTCCTAGGTCCAAGTTGGAGTGAGCTATTACAGGATGAATAATTTGCCTTTCATCACTTGGAAGCCCTGCCATATCCGGGAGCCAAATGGAGCGGCACTGGCCCAAGTTTTGTAGCCAAAATGTGAGCAGCGCCGGGCTGTCTGCAGCCAGACCCCTGGACTCAGGAGGACCTGGGCAGCTGCAGGCTTATGTTGAGGGTTGGTCCTGCAGTATCCATGCCCATCCACAGCTGACTGGTGCCCCAGCATCCATGGTTCCTGCTGCACCTGCCTGCTGCTCCCTGGAGCGGTGAACCCCCCCCCACCAGCAAAAAATCTTCCCGCGTGTGAAGGTGCCCCCCCCCCCCGCCAGAATCTAAATAGAAATGGAAATCCCAGGATGGTTGGTGTCTCAGGGCACAGGGGCCTCCCCCCAGCAAGTCCTCAGGGGTCTTCACTTTGGGTCAGGTGCCACCTGCCCAGCTGTGCCCGCCTGCCCAGAAATCACAGCTTCTATTTTGTGTCTCTGTTGCAGCAAAACACCAACCCTCTGAGGATGTTGTGGCATCTTTGGTCCCTGACCATGCTGTGCTGGAGGATGCTCCCCATCGGAGGATGCTCCCCGACAAGGTCATGCCTGATGTGGCCAGTGGCAGGGCTCTCACCTGGCCCAGCAGACAGGAATCCTTTCCCATGAGACACCCCCCAGGGACACAGGGGACCCAGCAAGAATCTGCATGGCATGATAGGACATGGGGTGTTGCAGACATGGTGTAAAGGCTAGAGCAAGGGGGTCCCCCAAAGAGCCTGCGTGGAGGAGCAACAGTGCCATGTGAGACCCTCCCCCCCGCCCCGCTCCATCATCCCCATCCCGAAGAGGGAAGGGGAAACCGCTCACACAGCTGAACGCAAACCACAGCATTTCTATTTCCCATGCTCTAAAACTGGCTGAACAGGCCCAGCTGGTCGCTGGGCACACACACAGTGAGTGCCCTCACCAGAGAAACCGCTGGGGAGGATGCTCCAGCCTTTCGGGAAGCACAGTGCTCCCAGGCTGCCAGCACCATGGGAAAAGCTGCCCCACCATGTCCCTCATCCCCAGAGCCACACATGTGGTTCCCCGCAAAGCTGCAGATGGCCAGGAGCACCTGGCAGCCGCCACTTCGCACTGTTCTCTCCTATCAAGCAGATGGGGAAATTGAGGCATGACAAGCGACACATGCAAGGGCCAGCGGCAGAGTGCAGACTTGTCCAGAGAAGTGAGAGGGGTATGCTTGCATCCTGGTGTGCCTGCGGCGGGTATCACTCACCACCAAAATGCAGTTCCCTGTGGGGAGGAGTGTGGGGGTCAGTGCAGCCCAGGGCAGGGCATGGAGGAGCCTCTCCACCTCTGAGCCCGCCGGAGCCTCGCCAGGCAGGCAGCACTGACTCACTCCTCCTGCAGCCTGACCTAGTTTAAGAGGCACCATGCAGGTGAGAAAGACACCATTAGCAGCACCAGCCAGGAGGCATTTCGCAGCCCAAGGTGAGTTTTCTAAGTCAGGCGGCGATGGCTTTAGGCTGTCATTTGAGCTGCTGCTGGCATGTCACCAAACCACCCCAGGCTGGGCAATCCCATGCATGACCCAGTGTCTTGCAGGGCAGCATAGGGCAGCCTGGGGAGAGGGCTGGGAGCTGTGCTTGTCATGCACAAGCTCAACCAGGCATGAAGTGCATTTGGAAGAGCTCCACAGGTCAGCACCCAGCAGCAGGTTGGTGGCAGGGGACCCCATTCCCCCTCTGAGACACCCGATGCTCTTGCTCTGTCCAGGGCAGCGAGTCCCAGGAGGGAGCACAGGAACGGGGCCAGGGTCAGAGCATCAGTCCCAGCCTTCGATGTCCACCCACTTACCTGCACCGCCATCCCCTGGTGCCTGCCTGCTTTCCTCCACCAGCTGCTTCATCCTCTCCCTCGAGACTTTCAGGTACTTGTTGCAGTTGCACACCTGGAATAAGAGAGCGGGGGAGGTTGGTGAGGTGGCACCCGTGCTCCCCGGGTATCTCCTGCCTGCCTGGAGCACACAGCCCTGCACTGGCTGGGCAGCCCCAGTCGCATGCACCATGGCAGAGAGAAACCTAGGCAAGGCCTGTCCCACCGAGGGGGGGTGGCAGAATGGCCACAGACAAAAATTTTGGGATTCGCATGCCACAAGAACCTCCTCACCAGCGGCATTCCATCTTTATGGTGCTTACCCACATCTTCATGGCAGGCTGCCAGTACCACTGCCCATCACCTGGCAGACCTCACCCCCCAGCCCTACACAATGCCAGAAAACACCAGAAACACGTTGCCTTAAAACATCAAGCAGAAACCCAAAGTTTGGGCTGTGGCTCCAAGATTTGTTCTCTCTTCTCTCAAGAGAGAATATCCTCTTATAGAAGCTATGGAGGATGGCCGTGGACCCCAAGACATGCTGGGGTCTTGGCTGGCTGTGCGTGGCCCAGCTCTGCTGGAGCACCACGAGCGCCAAGTCACATTTTCTAACCCTGCTTTTGTTTTGACAAAATGCACCTGGAGAGGTCTCCAAGCACCTACACATATCAGGTACCAGCCCTTAGGGAGTCAAACCCCTCAAGGAGCTCCCCAAGCCCCACTGCTGAGGAGCACCCACAGCCGGGTGCCTCAGGCTGAGCCCAGGGTGCAGCCAGCAGCCCAACATGCTCGCCCAGAAGCAATCAGCACTAAATCTCCCCAGAGCATCGCAGCCGGCTCCCTGACAGCTTTGCTCTCCTCTCCCCGTCCCTGCTTGGATGGTTGCTGGGATGTGCTGCAACACCTTTTGTCAGCTATTTGTTTTTAGGGACTGTTTTCTGCTTGCGGAGCATTTTGAGCATGCTGCACCCAAGGCAAGCAGGGAGAGAGGTGCATAACTTCACCGACCAGAACAAGTTCCCTGCCTGGGGCTTTGCTCCAAAGCCTGTTGAAACCAGAAAGGTTTTTCCACCGCCTGTCCGGGCACTGGCACAGGCTTGTGGCAGCTCTGCCGGTTTGCGGCGTGCTAGCTGGAATGGTGCTGGGGTCACGGTGAGGTGCAATGATGCCCCTTCTTCCCACACAGCTGCCTGAAGGAGGATGGGGGGAGGATGATTTGTTTGAAAATGAGCTCGCCACCATGTCCCAGCTCTGCCCTGAAGCAGGAGGAGATTATTTCCACTGGCAGCCTCCACAAAACCAGCACATGCTCTCCACCCCGGGCATGATTTGGCCATAAAAGGATGCCTGGGCTCAGGTCCCCAAAGCCGCGCTGCTGCAGCCCCACAGAGCAGCAGCACAGACAGAGATGGACAAGGTGCAATCTTGAAAGCACCCAAATGACATGGAAGCCACTGAACCACTTTTAAAAGGCAATTTTGCAGCAGTTCCCTGATTCATACAGCAAGCACCAGACAACTCCTACTCATGCAAACGTGTGTCAGACCCCTGTGCACTGCTCCGGCTCACCAGCCCGACTCCTTCTCACTGATGCTGGAGGCGAGCCACAAGCCCTGATGCTGCGGAGGACTGAGCATGCCTTGCCCTGAGCAGAGCAAAGCACCCTCCTCATTCTCATGTTCAAACCCCGGTACCCCGGGAAATGAAACTGGGTGAAATCCCAGGGAAGCAGGAAGATGATCTTATTTGAGTGAACTTGACTTTCTGTGGAGCCAGATGAGCCATTGGAGTTACCTGATCAGAAAGGAGATGCCACTTCAGAGTTCACTGCCAGCCTCATGCGAGGGAGGGTTACACTGCAACCTGCGGAGGCCACCCAATACTGTTGGATCTGATCTCTTCAGGCTTCAGCTGTCTAGACTAACGAGGACTGGAACTCACTGACTCCTTTTCATGCCTTCGCCTCCCTCTCCCTCAGCTCTGCACTGGCTTAGCTGTGCCTGCGGTGGCAGCCCATCATCAGCTGGGCCAGATCCATCCTTGAAAGATGGCTGAGAAAAAGGGAAGAGGAGCATGGATGGATCCAGGGATGAGCAGGGAAGGAGACAGACGGGCTCCTTCTTTTAGGGTGGATGTCACCCGCAGCCGTGAGACAGACCCCGATGCTGCTGCCCAGTGGAGCCATACTCTGGCCCCTGCCAGCTCTGATGGTGGAGTCAGTGTTGATGCTGCAGGACGGGATGGTCCCTTTGAGGCTCAAGGACATGCCAGCCTTCACAGTCTGGACCTGGAGTCACCAGTATCCCCACCCCAGCAGCCACCCAAAGCCCTCGCATGGCTCATAGGGTGCCTGCTGGGATTTGTGGGATTGCAACAGACAGGCAGGCAGAGGGGATGGGCAGCTCCCAGGGATGTGTGCTATGCTCTGTGCTGGTGGCTCCACTCCCCAGTGACAGTGACAACAGGGGAGGGGACTGCACACTGGAGAAGGGCATTGAGCCTGGCAGTGGCAGAGACATGAGATGGCACCTCCTGGGCATGGTGGCAGCACCGGCTGCAACAAGGTGTCAGAGGTTCCCAGAGAGGTCCCAAACCACCCGGCCATTGAGCTGCCACAAAGGATGGGTGCAGAGGGGCCCAAGGAGCAAACAGCACCCTCCTCCCAGCCTCCCTGCCAGGCTGTGTGGGCATGGGCTCATGTCCCCTCCATCACAAACACCAAATCTACCTTAACACTCAGACTTGGCAGTTTGGAGCACGCCATGATGTTTGGACAGCTGTGCCAGCGTGCTGTGCATGGGCTTCTGGCTCCCACTTGGAGGCATGGAGTGACCTCAGGCAAATTTATCTACCTCTCTAAAATTCATCATCGTTGTAAACTAGGAGCAATCCACCTCCCTGGGCTAGGTATGCCCTGGCAGCCCAGGGGTAGCCTGGCATTTCCCACTCGCCCAGGGCTGCCAGATGCTTGCTGTGAGGCTCCATGCCCCACACCATCTCCCCAGCCTCTGGGCCTTCCCCACCCTCAGCTTCCCAAAAACATGGGGCGGGCTCAGGAGCCAGATAAGCCACTTAGCAGCAGCGCCAATTAGCTGTAATAAAAAATTGCAATTAATTTTTTTTAATGCCTTGCCAAAATGAGCCAAAAGAGATGAAGCAAGCAGGGCAGCCTGCCACCTCAATAAGGCTGGGCTGAGTGGCTGCCATGCAGGGGCCAGTGGTGGCCTTGGGCTTGATACTCAGCTCCTGCCTGGGGACACAGCTCCCCACAGCCTTCTGCATCTCACCATCACTGCTTGGGGGTGTGGAGCAGTTTTTTGCATGGGTCTTGCTTTTGTTTTAAGGGTTTTAAGGGAAGTGGGGAGCCTCTCTGCTGGGGAAGGGATAGACTTTTCCTCCTTGGGAAGGTTTGGTTTCCCCATTTCCCCAGATCCATCATGGCAGGATTAGTTGTGGCCCCCACAAAGTGGGATGGATGCAAAGGCAAAAATCTTTGCTGTGGTGAGACAGCAGGAGATGGCGGCACCATGGGACACTGCCTGGGGGTGCAACCACCGCAAGCAGGGGCTACAACCCAACAGCAAAGGGTTCGGCTTCTCCCCTGCAACATCTGGAGGTCCCCGCAGCCCCTATGCCTGGCTTGAGGCAGGGCAGCAGCTTCTGCCCGACACTGCAGCCCTGCCTTGGGGATGATGTGCTGAGTGGGCTGAGTGTGCAAGGTCTCTGCTCAAGCCATCCTGCCAATCCATGCGGCCAGTGTAACCACAGGGTAACCATGGAGCTGGGCCATGGGGGAGAAAAGGAGTTCAGCTTGGGAGGAGAGAGCCAGGCGGCTGCAGCCCCCGCACACCCCATAGCACTGCCCGGTCTACCGACACCCATGCTCCTGTTGCATGGCAGGGTGTCCCAGTGCCCCTAAGGGCTGCGGGTCGCAGGGTGGCAGTGGGCACACCTCGGAGGAGGAGCAGCGCTGCCTTTCTCACGCTAGGGCAGCCCTTGCCAGCACATGCTTAGTCACTGGTAAATCCCAGCCTAGATCTGCTCTGCCCTCTGTGAAATGGATCTTGGCTGCACCCCCGCTGAGGCAATCCTGGTGCTCGGGAGCCATGGCGGGCGCGCTTTCCCACGGCAGCCCAGCTTCCAGCGCCCCGTGTGAATCAGCCCCTTCCCGGGCAGGCACTGGGTGCCCCTGCACGGCACACGTGCAGTCAGCTGGGCAAAGCCAGGTGAACACATCGCCGCTCTGATCCCCCCATTGGGCTGGCAAGGATGGTGCTGAATTCAGGCTCTCTGGGCGGGGGGGACAGCTGTGACATCTCCCCCTGCCTCCCCGGGCTCTGCTCACCATGTCTACATCAAGGATGAGGACCAGGTGCAACCCATCTCAGATGAAGCTGTGGTCCTCACTGCGGTCCCCCAGTGTTGTCCCCTCTCCCTGCACCCATCTGCACGTCCTGACCGAGGTGCTGCAACCCTGGTGCCAGGCACCGTCACCCCCACAGCCATGGGCTCCTGCCCTGCCACCTTGTGCCAGCATCCACCCAGAGGAACACTCTGCAGCCCAGTCTGCTCTGTGATGTCACCGCTGAGAGCTGTGATGCAGGGATTAGAAGGAGTGATGTCATTGGACCAGGACTGTGATGTCACAGCAGGAGAGCTGGCATGGATCTCTGTGTGGCTGTGGTCCCCAAGCCTGGCGAGGCACTTGTCCCCAGCCTTAGTAGCCTGAACCACCCCGGCCAAGGGGGCAGCTGCCGTGCAGTGTGGCTCTCCCTGCCTGCACAGACGAGGAGGACAAGGCAGGTGAAACATCCTTTTGCAATACTGGCAGCCTGTCCAGTGATTTGTTTTTGTTTAGGATGATCCCTGCCTCTCCCAGCCCTCTTGGGTGGTAATTTCACCATCAGTGACGCACGAACCTCCCAGGACTCAAGGGACTGGACACTTCAGCCTGAAGCTCCAGGGCCATCTCAGCATCCCATCCCCTTTCTGGGACTCCACCCAGGAAGCCAAGAAGCTCAAAGAAAACTTGGAGTCCAGCAGACAACAGGAGCCAAACCTGGGACGCAAAAA